TCTCTCTCTCTCTCTCTCTCTCTCTCTCTCTCTCTCTCTCTCTCTCTCTCTCTCTCTATCGCGCATTCTCGCAGAGCGTCTCGAGCTCCTCTCGGTCGGGTACAGAAACCGGTATAATTTCGATGGTCCCACATTTCCCTGCGGTGGGCGCGCGAAAATGAGCTTTACAGATATGTAAGGCTCATTGCAGTCGCAATTTGTTAACGTTTATTGCACATATCAAGTCAGCGCGAGAAATAAGTTGTCTTTGTCGAGGAAAACTAAACTGAGATTTGTTTATTAACTGCAATATTTTAATGATCGATTAAAGCATATTTTCTCTCCTCCTATTGTTAGTGCTCTCCAAAAATATCACACGATTGAAAAGCACCAACACTAGTTGACCTCGCTCGTGTGCATACACAGTTGTGTTTCGGACATGTTTGAATTTCTTACGCCACCATTTTTTTTTTTTTTCGAATCTGAAACTTGCACCGACAGGCAATATACCGTAAGTGAATGAACGACAAGCGTTAATAATGTAAGTTTTTTTTAGTAATTACAATAGCAAGAGAGGGATATACAAGGTGTTCAAGAAAAGGATTCTAGATTTACATAGTAGATAGTACCTATTATAGTCCTCATAATTTTTGTTTTTAAATCTCTGATCTTCGAATCAGTTCCACATTTTTATACAATATTTATTTAGTTATCATCTTGTTTCAATACGGTATAATTATCTGTCCTTATGATTAGCGATCGTGTTTAAGAGAGACGGTAGCAAAAATCTTCTCAATTATTATCGGTTTATTATAAGTATTATCTACCCTATAAGTCTTGAACCCTTTCGTTTTGTATATGTGTGTATGTATGTATATGTTGTGTGTGTGTATTGTTCGTTTCTATTCAATTAATCTTTATTTTATTCGTACACAACTGATATTCACGTGTACACCGCACGGCAAAATTTTATCAGTTACACTGAGGGAAAAGAAATGGCTGTTCTAACTAAAATTATAGTTATTTTTGGCCCAAATTGCATATTTCTTGGTTAATCTGATATGGCAATAGTAATATCATATCAGGTCATTGCCACAACATTAGAGTAGAATTTAATAAAAACAAATGATTTTCTATGACTATAATTTATAGTGATTATTTCTCTATGTGATTCTAGGTACAGATATCAAACGTTTTCTTTCTCAGTGGAACCAAAAATGAATAACGTTATCTGACTGCGCTAGATTAATAATGCATATGTTTTCGCTCGATACGGAATACGGTCGATAGATATGTTGGATGTCGAGCGAACGAATAGGCGTACGAGCAAGTTTGAAAGAGGTGTCGAAAATGCCGCTCATTCGTGTGAGAGGTGATAAAAGTGTTCCGTTAGCGCGCGCGAACGTGTGACACGCGTCTTGCTGCGTGTCAGGGCGGCGTGTGCATTTACGTGGGCGCAATCGAGGCGGAATGATTTCCACCTCGAGAATGTGTATACGCGGCTACACATACATATATATGTATATGTGTGTATGTATGATTTAGAATATTTGTTCAAAGATATTCCGACATACTCGGGTTACATTAACGTCGAAATTGAAAATCGTTCGATTACGGTTTTCGCGGTTTGCGTTCGACTGCGCGTTCAATGAAAGTGAGATCGATTAAAATCGATGGCCCAGTTCAAGAAGGTACCAATCGAAGATTCCTCATTATCGGGGTAGCTCGTTTTAGGTCGTCAATCCGCGTGGAAATCTCCGACTCGTCAACACTTGTTCCGTGCAGCCCTCTTTTTTACGTACACTGAACAAATCTAAGAAACTGAGAATATTGGGTTCGTTCGCGTTGCTTACAGTTTTGATACTTTTACACCTAAAAAGATTCAAGCTAAGAAAAGAAAGAACGGTTGTCCGAATATATCGTCGATAATATAAAAGTTACAAACGTCCCAATCGTTGTGATGTAATCTGAATATTCAATATCATCGTGTTAAGCCACGAAAATTAGAGTCGGTTGGGTTCATCGTTTTAACACGGGATGCCGTAACGAGGATCCGAGTTGAAATTTTAGTCCTGCTTTAGGCTTAAACATCTGTATATTGTGAAGGATCAGTGTACGTGTAATACACATGAAAACTGAAATCCTACTTAGCGCCTCTAAATGGCAGAAAACGCACAAAATACCATTCGTCCTAAAAAGGATCTTTCAGCAAAACTAGTAGGTTAAACAGAATCAAAGAAGATTGATATAGGCTTCAGCATATGAAACTAGATGTTAAATAGCACAAAACAAAAGACTTTTCATTCAAGACTTATAGAGTAGACAGTCATAATAAGCTGATAATAACTGGGAGAATTTTTGCTACCGCGTCTCTCGAACACTGCGCGATCGCTGATCACAAGGACAGATGATTATACTTTGTTGAAGCAAGATAATAACGTAAATATTGTTGTGTAAAAATGTGGAACTGATTCGAAGATGAGATTTTTTTTTAAAAGGATTTATAACGAGCACTATCTATCTACCTATAAATCTAGAACACCTTGTATATTCTTCTCGTTGTCAGGGAGGCGCGCGATCTACGAACTTCGAGCCGGCCAAATCAACACAGATAAGCGCGTTCCGTGATATACAGTTTACAAGAAAGCGCGGGTCACACACACACACACACAAGATTTGCCCGCCGCCTTACGTCACCGCCATAAGAAGTTCGCGTCGTTTCTAGTGTTACGTTCGTACGCTCAGCTGGTCGGCCAGCAGCAGCGAGCCATGCTCGCGCGACCTATTTTTTTGCGATCGAGCGAGCGAGCGAACACGCGCGCGCGCATGCTTTACTGTGACGATCAATTAGATAAGCGTACGGAGAAAACGGTTCATAGTATCGTCTTTTATCACGAGAACGGGTATTACTACGAGAAGGCACGACGCGACACACGTACGTCTTCTTCGAGTCGATCTTTCTTGCCGGTGCATCGGCGAGTCCCGCGCTTACGTGCCATCCTCGTAAAATCGTGAATTTCTCAAGGTAAAAGTGACGTCGCCCGCGACGGGACACACGATCAGTGGTACACATCGGACGGACATTCCGCGGATTCCTCGCGGTTGAATTCGTCGAAACGCGTGCGATCCTAGACGATCGGACCGCATGTGCGCGGATCGGATACCCGAGCCCGGCCTCGATGACGAAGGTGTATTAGCGCGAAGGTTGCGCTGTGGCAAAGGCACTCCTTAGTTCTGGCTCAAGGTCGAGCTATTAAGAGGCCTAAAGCATATGGACGGGTTTACGGTCTCTGCGTTAGATCGGCTGCGAGAGGGGTTTGCTCTCGCGGATGTCAAGTTTCGAGGAAACTGCGGAAAAATGGCAATAAGCAAAGAGAGACGAGAGAGACGAGAGCTATCGTTAATGTCAATACTGACGATAAAGTTCTCTCGAAATCACGTGTAGTCGCGGAACAGGCGCGCTTTATCCATGTGCAAGCAGGTGCGGCATTATCAAGCAAACACACGAAGCGCATCCGTGAAAGACAGAAGTCGAGGAAGTTGGCGAGTAGTTTGCCTTTGCAGATAGCTTGCACAGATAACTCTACGAACTGTCTCGGTTCTCGCAGCGAGCGACGTTCCCCTTGCGACAACGCGCGGCATTGTAACATGATATTTCACTCTAAACTCCGTCAGTCACTGGACGACGATACCCTGCGACAGGGAGACACCCTTGTATCCTGTTTTATCGCGATCCGATTTGCGGCCGCTCTCGGCTTTTCTTTTTAGCGCTCGGAAATTTGAGACGCGCGCCCGCGCGTTTTGGCTTTAATACCCGCTCTGTCGTCGTGCTCGTCGTCGTCTTTCTTCCTTCCTCCTGAGGAACCTCACACCGCCTTTTTTATCCTCCCGTGATTTGCCCCGCAAAGTGGCAGCGTGTGGCATCGTATTCACGCGTTGACCGCAACGACCCGTTTCTTCATTTCTCTTTCTTGACCGGCGGTATCGACGGCGGTCCCGCGGCGACGGCAATAATTCTATCTTCCCGTGTAAATCACGTATTAACACTTCGCAAGCAGAATTGCGTGCCTGCCTGCCTGCCTGCCTGCCTGCCTGCCTGCCTGCCTGCCTGCCTGCCTGCCTGCGTGCGTGCGTATGCGCGTGAAAGGAGGGACAAGAATCGCGTGTAATGCTGACAATTACAAGCGACGCGCTTTGTGCGAGCTCCGAAGAAGTCTTTGTCGAGAGTGGGGTACCGAGAGAGACATAAAGAGAGAAGGAGAGCCAAAAATAAAGACAAATAGGCGAATGCAAATTTGCCTGGAACGGATAAACACGCGAAGCGCTGTAAATGCCGTGTGCACAATTTGTAGACAAACGTCTGTCAATAATGTGAGAAAGATCGAGAGTAAAAGGGATCGTTAGGCGTGCGTTAAATCTAGATATGTCACGGGACATCTGTCGTGAGACAGATCACTTATTACTCTTTGATTCGTAGAGATTCTTCGCGAATCTTCGTGGAGCACAGTGAACGTTGGAGACCGAGGTTTATCGATCGTGCTTTCAAGTTGCGAGCGA